AGGTGAGTTATAGGAACTAAAATAAGTCTACAGTTGGTTTCCACATGGAAGATTAACATTCATTCAGTTGCTGCCATGGTTTTTATATCTTCATTTGGTTGAAAACTTGCTGACCTCACCACAACTGGCACATATTAGTGGCCTAATTAATATTTGTTGAATAAATGGATTGAAGCTCTATTGGTATCACTATGTAAATACCTCCCAAGGATGGGTGAACTGGATTTAGTTCTCTGTTATTAAACACTCCATCAATGAACAGTGTGCTGCCTGAGTAGCAGAATTTGGAGAGTGTTTAATCCTACATTGTTGACACAATATTTTGGTTGTTTTCCAGTACTTGTGTTCTTCTAACAAGCTCAAAATCAAGAATAGGAGGGTTAATTCTGGAATCTTCTCAGTCAATCCTTAAACTAAAGCTGACTGCTCTGTAATGAGAAAAGTCACCTTTGTCTATTTGTTTATTTATCTTTTAGGAAACAACGCCCGAGAATGTGTATTTTGTATGGATAGTGTCTATAAAATTTACAACCATCTTTGCACATGAACGATAGTTTCTTGTAGAGCTATTTAATTTATTTCTTGTTTCCACAGAAAATTTGTGCCCTAGCCTCAGGACTTTTCCTTTTTCTTCCTTCATGAGACTTTTTAAAATACTGAGGATGTTTGCTGTGATAAGAGGATTCCAACAACGATCTGTCACAGGCAATTGCATGCACTTTGGTTGAGCATGAGGTTGTGAGTGTGGATTTTGTCCTTGACCTAACATCTCTGCTAAATTACTGACAGTAGCCTGTGGCTGTTCTGACTGTTCGGGAATATCCACCCCTGAAATGTATTATACTCTTCTTTTTGATGTCTGGAGCATCCACAGGGGAGACAGTATAAACTTTCTAACTTATTCTTTGCCTCTCAGACTCATTTCTTGTCTCAAGTCATCTCCGTTATTTCCTTTCTCATCTCTCTGTTTCTTATTCTCTGCCTTAACTGTATTTTATTCCCCCAAAGAAGAGTTTTTTCTTCATTTTTTCCTCTGTGATTCCACAACGAGCAAGTACTATGAGATAATGTTTTCCAAGAATGACCTAAGGATGATTCCATGGTGAAATTGAATTGACTAGGTAGCTGCATCCTCCTGTCTTCTTTAATGTGAGCTTCAATGGGTAATTTCCTTAGGAAATCTCATATATTTTCCTGACATTTTTCATTAACTACTTTAGTGTTAAAATGAATATGTCTAATAATAATATAAATAATAATTATGATTTATCTTTTTTCTACAATTTTAACAGAAATTATCTGATTTAAGTAAGCACACATATGTATATCAGGTCATTATGGTGTATACCTAAAATTTACTCAGTGCCCATTGAGCTTTGGTTGAGCTACTGGAGCAGCGAAGGGTCATTCAGACCCTTCTGAATGAGGACATCCAGATGTCCCGCCTCAGAACCAACTTTCACCTCCTATTACTAGCATTCATCTCCACAATCAAAGTTGATCAAAAGCAGGAGGAGGGGCACAAGATCTCCCCATTAATTTATTCAGCAACTGTGCACCAAGCACTCATCCTGTGCCAGGTGCCCTGGTGGGCTGACGTGTTGGCTGAAAATGACCGAGTGTTCTCTGCCTGCCAGGAGCACACAGTCTAGTGGGGAGATGGAAAAAAGCATGAAAGCAAAGACATGAGAAAGCAAATAGAAACTACTGTAGTGAAACAAAGCAGGGGACTGTGAGGGAGGGCTGGAGGGTCACTAGGTAGGAAAGTCTGAAAGGCCTCACTGAGGTGACATTTGCTGGGACCAGAATGACAAGGGGGAGCCAGCCCTGCATGAGTCTGGGATCAGAGTTTCAGGGAGAAGGCACCAGCGGTACAGAAACTCACAGGCAGAAGTGAGTTTGGCCAGAGAAGGTTAGAAAGGTGGCTAGTGTGGCTGGAGGGAGCCTGGGAGGAGAGAACAGGAGCTGGAGGTGGAAGGTAGGGCCAGGGCATGGGGCCTGGTAGGCTGTGTTAGTTATCTTTTGCTCTTTGACTTCATTGCCCCTAAACTTTGCATTTTAAAACTATAAATATTTAACATCTCACAATTTGTGTGGATCAGCAATCAGGCACGTTTTAGCTGGGTGCCTCTTCCTCAGTATGTTTAACAGGTTGGGGCTGTGGCCTCAACTGAGGCTCGACTGGGGGAGGACTGGCCCCCAAGTTCTCTCTCAGCCTTCAGGATTCAATTTGGACAGAGAGACAGAGTTCCTTTCTGTCTGTTGGCCTGGGCACGCCGGTGCTTCTCTCCTCGATGGGCCTCCACATTGGGCAGCCCCAAAACACTGATGTTTGATTCCTCAGTTACAGGGATTCGACAAAGAGAGAGAGAGAGATGGAGAGATGGAACACGAGAAAGGGAGAAAGAGGGAAGTGAGAGACTTTTTGTAGTTAAAATTTAGACATGACATCTCATCACTTTGTCTGTATTGTGTTTAGAAGCCAGTAACTAACCACTTGGTGGTTCCACAGGGATGTGTACACATTGGATGGAGGCCAAGAAGAGGCACTTGGGTCTCATTCTACATAAAGCAGCAAACAATTGAATGGTTTTATGCCACAGGATGGCAATATCTGAATTTCCATTAGTTTCAACACGCTCATGATGCTGACCTGAAAATGAGGCCAAGTTGGAAGTGACTGTTCCAATATCACATTGCTGGAACCCAGGCCTGATTTGAGTGGTGTTCTGTACTACATCCCACCCCTCCTTGTTATTCTTCTATCTCTATGCTTGTGATTTAGGTACACGTGACACCAGGGGTAATAGATATTATCTCATATACACTGAGTGACATCCATAGGAAGTAAATTCTAGCCTGATCCTCATGGTGTAGGTTTGGAGACTGGGGAGAACCTGAGAGGCACAGTGGCATTCCTGGGATGCAGAACTGGTAAGGAAAAGGAGGTCTGAATTCAGCTCCGTCTCCTCAAAGCTAGGACCCTAGTTAGGTTTCCAGGGAGCTATGGCTAGGGCTGTGTTGGCTCATTGGGTACAGTTCAGGAGATGACATGGGGGAAGAGGTTGAGCAGCCTGGGGTGGGGGCGGGGCTCTGGTCAACTCTGACTGAAGGAAGGGGTCCAGGTAATGGAATCTTGAAAAATGACCTCACTTCCTTGGTCATAGACCTCAACAGATCTTAGAATGCTGGTAACCAGGCACCCACAGCCCCTTATCTAGCTCATTTGACCAGAGATGATCAGCAAGGATGTTTTGTTGTTGTGTCACAACTTTCAGAGGATCTGGGCACAGGAAAGCCCCAAAAGAGAATCTTTTTCATCATTGTAGATGTTGGCTCACCCCTCACCCCTAACACCTCTTGCCATTTGACAGGAGGCATCCGAAGGTAACACAAGGCAGTCTAGGAAAGGCTAGTGCAGGCCAGGACACAACTGTGATCCCATATCATAAGCCCCACACCCTTTGCCCCTAATCATGTGTGTGTGTGTATGTGTGTGTTGAGGGAGGAATGCAGGGGATGAGGAGTGGGTCATTCTTGGGCAGGAGCTTGTTGTTAGGTGTTGGAAGCCTGTTGGGTGTCCCATGTTCTTGGCTGGCAACATGAGAAGGTGAACTCCTCTACTCTTTTGTTACCCAAGCCCTAGACGTTTCATCTTATTCCCTTCCTGACTAGAGCTCTTTGCAGATGCTCTTCTGTGCCTGAACTGAGGAACAGAATTTCTCTTGGGAGCTGGCCTCAGTGGCAATATGCAGGCAGCCCCTGATTCCTTCTGGCCTAGCTCCAGAACAGTCTTTGCAGAACTCCAGTCAGAAGGTCATCGAGGAGCTGCCCAATGGTTTCAATTTCACCAACTCACTAGGCAAGGGGAAGGTGCATGAGGTAACAAACACCATCCAGTGCTGGTCTGAGGTGAGAGCAGGAGCAGAGTGTCTCCACTCTCAGGACCTCAAGATGACTGGGGTGGGACCAGAACCCAGATTCAAATCTGGAGATGTCCCTGTGGCCCATGCAGAGTGTTCATGCATGAGTGTCCCACAGGCCCACTGCCAAAGAAATCTAGACCTCCATATGTAACTCACTTGCTGTGTGGTAGAGTAGAAATGCACTCTTCACTTATTTGTTGGAATAGTAGAGAAAAAATTTGTTGTCCTTAGATTTTGCTACTGTTTTGATTGTTTTAACTACCCACCCCAAGTATGCTGTAGAGCAATCAGCTCCACTATCCTTGAAGACCTTCTCTGATTTGTAAATCACCCTACTTGATAGGGTGGTTTGTACAAAAAATAGAGGTGGGAGTAAGGTATTGCATACATTTGTCTGTAACTTGTAATCTCACAGAACCCATCAAATCATTGTAAGTCCGTGAGGTCAGGAGCTGTGGCCTTACACATCTTCAAAATATCCCACAAAGGAGGTCATTTGCCACAGCCATTTAGCCTTTCAGTGTTGGATATGATTCAATTCTGTTGCTGTTTTAGCAGTGCTGCAGGGAACATCTTACATGTGTCCTCATAGACTGTGTTAGTTTGCTGGGTCTGCTGTAACATAGAACCACCAAGTGGGTGGATGGCCCCTCATGCTTACTGGCACGGTACTGGTTTCTGTCTTTGTAGAGCTCCACCCAGGACATTGTCAAGGAGCTGGTGGATGGGTTCCACTACTCCATCTCCCTAGACAAGGGGAAGCTGCACCAGGCCACCAACAACGGCCAATACTGGTCTGGGGTAAGTGTGGGCAGAATGGGGTCTTCACACTCAGGACCCCGAGATGATTGGGGTGTACCTAGAACCAAGACTGGAATCCAGTAACTCCCTTGAGGTCCTCCCAGGAATGTGGTTTCCCCACAGCCTTCCCCTCATGTTGGGAGCATACTAAGCCTCAGGTTGTTTAGAGGGAATGTCATACAACCCATGCTATGGACAGTTCTCAGTTCCGACCTGCATGATTTTGAGCAGCCACTTGAAATACCTAATACTCTGTTTCCTAATATCTAAAGTGGAGAAGTTTGTTGATGACTCACTAGGATAATGCTCTTAATACAGGACATTAATACAGGGAAGTGCTATTGTTTCTCAGCTAACAAAATGTCGCGAAGGTACCAGTTGTTTATTATTCCTCCCCAAATCAAATTATACTTTTAAAGCCTAGAACCTTTTTCTGTGTGAGCATTCAAGTTCCTCCTCTTGCACAAGTTCCTGAGGTGAGGGGAGTTTCTAGTCTGAGCTCCAGACCCTGATCCTCCTGGTGGCTCATAGTGATGCCACTGACTATATGTCACTCTTTGTCTACTAGGTGTGAAAAGGATTCAACCCTGTCCCTGGATCAAACCTGCATGATGCTGACCCCCAAGACACGCACAATGAGAAGGTGGCAGAGTCCCTGGCACCAGCCTTCCCAGCTAGAAACATCTACATCACCACCTTCCCATGCACCTACCAGGCCTCTGTCACCACCCAAGAGATTTTGGGTCAGCTGTTCCATAGGTAATTGCCACCCCATCCACAGCACAGTGGTGAGACTCCCACCTACTAACTGTGTGTCTGGGGAATGTCAACTCTTTGAGCTTCACTTTGCTTTTCTGAAAAGTGGGGTGGTCAGAAGATGAAACTCCTAGGGTCATTGTAGGAAATCATGGGATAAGCAATGCTTACCTGGTGTCTGGCTTGCAGAAAGGGTTTCTGGGTGTGTTGGATGTTTTCATGTTTATTAATTCTCTCTCCCCAATAAAGAAGCTCTCTACCTCTCTCCAAACTGTCCTGTGGATTTTCTGAGTTTGGAAAAACACATGGAAAGCTCCCTGTTAAGGGGTTGAGATTCCATCCAGCTGGTCCTGGTCCTTGTCCTTGGTGTAGCCAAATTAGTGATCTCTGGGGTCAGGTAGAGGAGCCCCAGGCCCACTCAGATATCTGGGAAGGTTCTGGTTGAGTTCATTTATTCAACAATCTCTATTAAACATTTACTCCATGCAGGAAATTTCCTAGACACTAAGGTCATTGAGTGAATGAAGTAGACTCAGTCCTTGGGCCTCAATTCTTGCCTGAGAGTCAGACAGTCACACTAGACACCATAATCAGTCATGTCCACAGTACATTAGATGTGACATCCCAAAGGCCTCTTCTAGAAATGGATGCTTCTTGCCATATTCTGACTGGCAGACCACAGGACCACCTAAGAATGTGAGTGGTCTTTGGGTCCAGAAGGAGGCATCCTGTCTCCACAGAACAGGCTGGGAGACTATGGGGGCTGTGGCTGGGGAGGGACTGGCAGAATCCTGGATCTCACACAGATTTTGATTATCATGTGAGGGCTGAGGTCTAGGGGCTTGCCCTTCACAAGGAAATGAGTCAAAGAGAGCTGTGCATGGGGTCCCAGCTCCCCTGGGAAGCAGAGGGGAGATGGACTGAGTTGGGCCTTGAGAGACTCATCCTTTCCACAGTCCCATGTCACTCTCCTGTCCTCTCCACATCCATCTCTCCTAACCACCAACACCAGGGCCCAGAATAGTAGGTGTGGTGAGCAGCCTGCTCACAAGTCTGCTCAAACCTCAGTCCTGATGCTCAAGTGCATGGAGGATGGGGTAGGCTATGCCCAGGGCCTTCAAAAGAAGAGTGTCAGTGGGCAGATGAGACTCACACAGGCTCTCTGTTAGACCTGGTCAATGACCAGGTCTTCCACTGCAAGGACAGCCCCAGAGAGATTGGGCCTCTGGTGCCATCCTCTGGGTCCTTGACCCAACGAAGGGTGTATGGGAGCACGGTGTAGAATGAAAGGCCAGGCCTCTGACTCTGCTCCACACATGACTCCCCCAGTGCCCTCTCTGTCATCTTGAACAACTGGCCAGACCAGTACTTGCAGAATTCCTGGCAGCCCCTGCACTGTCCCTTTTTCAGGCTAAAGGGAATGTATGTGCAGGTCGACTTACCTGGCTCAGATCTGGATTGCCGTGACCCTCTTATCCTGGTCAAGTTGGAGCTTCTAGAGGCCACTGAGGCAGAACCAGAGGGTAAGGGGGACTGCAGGCTGGGAAGACTATCTGGGATGGGGTTCACAGGCTGGGTATTCCTGTAAAGGCAGTGGGATCTTTCCTGTTTTTGGAAAGACACATAGAAAGTCAGTTGTGTGAGTGAACCTTTCTCTTTATCCTGCTTCAGTGCCAGCTCCAGGGCTCCAGCCAACTGCAGAGCCAGAACAGTGGCCAGTTGTGGAGGTAGAGCTGGCTCCAGCTCCATTGATATCACCCCCTCTAGTGCTGGAGCCAGCATCCCCTCCATCAGCAGTGTTGGAGCTGGAGCAAGGGCCAACTTCAGCTCTAGCAGGAATGGCAGCTGCTGAGCTGGAGTCACCTGGACCATCTTTTCTGGTGGGAATTCCATCTCCATCTCCAAAAATAGAGACAGAGCCAGCTCCAGCCCCAGAGCCTTCCTGCCCCAAGGCTGTGGCCAGTAAGAACCATCCGAGTGAGAAGAAGCCTAACCTCATGGCCTTCCCTTCTAAGCTGGTGGCAGAGCAGTTGACTGTAATGGATGCGGTGAGCAGCTGGGCTCTCAGGGTGGAGTGGGGCAGGCCTTCCTTCTGCCATCATTGCCCAAGACCTGATCCAGACTCCTGTGATCTGGGCCCGAATCCCAGCCCCACCCCTTACCAACTATATGACCTGGGCAACTATCTGACCCCCAAGCCTTTGCTGTCCACCTGCAGACCGTAGAGGTGGACACTAACAGGACCTGCTCCACAGAGTGGCTGTGCCGATTCAATGAGGTAGAAGAGATGGAAAGCTGGGCAGGGCCTGGGACATTCAGTGGAGGAGGGGAATTCACTGTGTGCAGCAAGGTCCATGGTGGCCCAACCATCTGCTCAGGAGTCTCAACAGCCTCAGCACTTATTAGACACCTGATATGTACTTAACCACAAGGAAGACAAACAAAGCCTGTGGTTGTAGCTGCCACAGGGGAATGTGCATCAGAATGTGGAGTGGGACCAGAGGGGCGATCAGGGTGCTGAAATATGCCCCCTTGGGATGAGCCGACTTGAGCCACCGTCTGGAGCTTGGAGTTAGCGAGGACAGGCTGGGTGCATATGCCCCTCTCCCTTCCCTGCTAGCACTGGGTCCTGGGTCATCTTGTGCTAGGTGCTCTCAGTGGATAGAGAATAAAACCCAGGGACTCTCACAAGGCTCAGGCCACATCCTGAGCTTCCTGAGCTCCAGCTCTAAACTGTGACCCCTGTGTGGGACTTTGGGGCCTGTGGACACAGAGCTGGGGTGTAGTAGGGCTGGGTGACACTCCCCCTGCTCCCCAGGAGCTCTTCTGGAAGGTGGTGCCCTCTCAGTGCCTGGGGTCCACCTGGGGCAAGAGGAACAAGCCTGGCAATGAGCACCTGGCACCCACTGTCCAGGCCACCGTTGACCACTTCAGAAGGGTGGCTAGCCTCGTCATCACCACCTGCCTTGGGGACCCAAGCATGGTGGCCCAGGACAGGGCGAGGGTGGTGGAGCACTGGATCCAGGTGGCCCAGGTGTGCTGTGGGAGGCCCAGTGGAGTCCCTATCTGGAGCCTTGGGAATAGCCTCTCCACGTTTGTCAGCTCCCAGGATTGAAGTGTGTGGTCTAAGCCCCTGCACAGTCCCTAGGCCCTTCCTGCCAGGGGCCCGCTGACCTTGACTCCAGGTCCCAGTGGGAGGATGCTCACTTCCTACCTGGCACCTTCCCTGGCTTGAACTAAAATCCTCCTCCCTGTGAGTGTTACTCTTTGGGTTCTAAATGTGCCCTTCTGGGGCTCCCTGAGCGTCTGTCTTATCCAGGAGGGAGATTTAAATAGAGGGGGACTGAAGCTAGAGTAAGCGGGGCTCCAGTGCCCCACATCACAGCTCATTCTCTTCTCTTCCCCAGGAGTGCGAGATCCTGAAGAACTTCTCCTCGCTACATGCTGTCATCTCTGCTCTGCAGAAAACCTCCTTAAGCCACCAGAAGAATACATGGGGGGATGTCTCCAGGTGGGTAGGCCTCTCTCCATAGGAGGACCAGGGTGGATAAGGGACCTCCCATACGTCTGCCATTGCCCCCTCAGTCACCTGGGAACTCCTGGGAGGCAGCAAAACCTGGGGATAGGGCCTGGGACTTGGTGGGGGTTCTCTAAGCCTTCCAAGGTCCTTAGAGCACCTGCTTCAGGACTCGGTTTCCTTCAATGTCAGGTACTGGGTTGAGCCAAATGGGAGATTTTCAAGTGTTTATAGCAACAGAACTCTACGCCCAGTTGAAACTCAAACTGGTCAAAACAGAGCTGCTCTGTAGAGCTGGGGAATGGAGGTGATGATTCCCCAGGTGACCAACATGAGACCCCTCTCCCCAGTCCCACAGAGACCTTACTGCTCAGAGGAGACCAGTGAACAAACTCATCCATGCAGATTGAATCTTTTGGGTTTTCAAATGAAAGAGATTTGCACTCAGATCCCCCACATTATTTGTAAATTTATCCTTCCTTCTTTCCCCTCCCCTCAGGGAGAGCTCTGAAAAATTTAACAATCTGTAGCAAAGACAAGTCCTTGAGCAGAGAACTGATGACCATGGTAGAGTGGAGGCTGAGGGTCTGGAAAGAGAGGAGAGGTGAGGGGGGAGAGGGATTGGGCGGGATGTGGTCTTGATAGTTTCTCACTTCAACTTTCTCTGGAAAATTCCCATCTATCTTGTGCAGATTAACAAGCAAAGGGATCTGTTTTGCCCATGGGCAGGTGGGGTGCTGTTTGTGGGCAGGATGTCCTGGTCATGGGACACGGTGGTGTTGTCTGGGCTGTTCCAGGAGGAGTTGCCGAGTGGGTGACATTAGCAGGTCTCTGGCTTCCATGCATGTCCATCCTGTTGGATGTAGCTTCTTCCAGGCTGTTGGGTGGTTGGGGTGGCTTTGGCCCTCAGCTTAAACCTGTCCTCAGGAAGCCAGGCCCCTGCTGCTCCTTCTGTTTTCACCACGTCTCCAAGGAGAGAGCACCCTGCCTGCCCCAGGGACTGGCACATGCAGGGGATTCCCATGGCCCAGGTGGACAAACAGGCTGCTCAGCTTTGGGTCCAAAGGGTGGGACCAGAGACAGATGTGTGTGCATTCTGGGACTCCCCACTGGACTCCTAGAGCAGTCACTCGAGTCAACCAAGGAGTCTCACCTGAGAGCCTGGTTGGTGCTGACATATGCCCCAGGTGGCTTATAAGAAGTGTCTGGGGACCTGACGGATTCCTAGTGGATCCTTCCTGAATGGATGTAGGATGTTTCATGTAAATGAGGAAGCAAAGCTTCCTGTCACCCCCTTACCTGTTGATCAGAGGTGGCACCATGGGGGTCCATTCCCTGAGTGGATGAAGAAAGAGTTCAGTACAGGGGAATATCCTGAGGGGTTCCTTGGGGAGGAGAAGGCTTTGGCATGGCCTCTGTTCCAGCTTGGGGGCCAGACACTCCAGAGGGACAGGCAAGAGCCACTCAACCAGATTCCCAAGACACCCTGTCTCCTTCCATCCATGGCTCAGTCCAGGACACAACTCAAGAGCTCAGGGGACAGGACTCTGGTCAGTGGTGGGGCTGGGGTTTAGGTGAGGATATTGGAACAAGGCCTCTGGCTGGGAGGGACAAGTGACCTCTCCTCTGTGGGCCCCTGAGCAACTCACTGCCCCTGTTTGGGCCTCTGTCTCCTCATCAGGGAAGGGAGGGATGGTGATCATGTGATGCAGGCCTCACAGGGTGGTGATGAGGTAAGAGGGAGGAAAGGAATGTGGGAGCTTTCTGTCTGCTCCACCTGTAGGGGTGAGGGCGAGAACAATGATGACAGTCACATGCCACTGAGTCCTCAGGAGACCCTGTGAGGTAGACGGAGTCCTCACACTTTCCATATGAGGAAACAGGCTTGGAGAGGCTAGGCCGCAGGCCCAAATTCACACTCAGAGTGAGAACTGAAGCTGGGCTTATTCTAGAACCATAACACACTGAAGGACAGAGTAGCACTGGTACCACTTGACTAGGGTCAGATGTCCAGGGTTTGAGGTCAGTGGTGCTGGAAGAAAATGGTGTGAGGTGAGTATGGCCTCACTGACCCTGTCCTCAACCCTGGCAGGAGGGGCCCTCCATGTTTGCCTCCCTGCAGATCAACCCCCAGAGAGTCCAGGAGAAGCCTCAGTAGATGAGTGTGCCTGTTGGGGAGGAGGTCCAGGGTCAGAGGGGAGGGGCTTTGCCCTCCCAGCTAGAGGACTCACATCAAGAGAGAAGATCCCTTCCTCCTGCAGTTCTGCCTCCTGGTGCCACAGTGCCTGAATCCCCCATTAGAGGTGAGTAGGAGGACCTGAAAGAGCTGGTACAGGATGGGTTTGTTGTGGGGAGGGCCAGGGACCACATACCCTGTGATTTGCCAGAAGCCGGCCCTGGGAGGTCAGGAGGAGGAGTGTGGTGGTCTTGGGGTGTGAAGGGAGGAGGCTGCTAAGGGTCTTAGGCTGCTCCCCGTGGGAACCCTGGGTTGAGCCAAGAGGCTGAGTGTGAAGACTTTTGAGGGGAGGGTCTGCAGGGGGATGACTTGAGAGCAAGGGCTCATCCCACCCCCACCGCGATGTCACAGGGTGTCGTCTCCTATCTTGGCACTTTCCTCGGTGACCTGCTGATACTGAACTTGGCAATGGGTGATTATCTCGAGGTGGGTGAGCCTAAGGACCAGGTGGGGGAACCAGGATCCTGAGGTTTGGCATGCAGGAGCCCCCAGACTGAGCTCTGAACTCTGAGCACTTGGCACATCTCCTCTCGTGAGAGCCTCGCAGCCGCCCCTGGGAGCTGGGGCATCAGGCCCATCTTAGGGATGAGTGAACAGAGGCTCTGTCTGAGACACTCATTTTGGTTCCCCCAGGCTGGGGAAGCTCAGAGCTGTCTGATGGCACAGCTATGTGAGGTTTTATCTGAACTGGACTCAGCCTCTCCCTCCCATGCTGCCCATGGAGGGAGAGAGAAGTCAGGGCCCCCCAAGTCAGGCAGCACATAAGTGGCTGAGCAGTCCCCTCTGCCTGAGGCCAGCCTCAAAGTCTGTCATCAGAGAGGACTGTGCTACCAGGTCCCTCAGCCTCACCCCCATGTCCTCCTTCTCTGGAGCCCAGAGCCCGGCCTAGGTCCAAGTCCTGTTTTCTCTGCATGCCTGGCCCCCTCTGGGGACCTGGCAGTAGTGCAACATGAGAAGGGGTGGGCATAGGGGGCTAGTCAGGCTAGGGGGCTCTGTCTGATGGACTCAGGCTGTCTGTCTTCCAGGGGAATGAGATCAACCTTGAGAAAAGGACTGAGGTGAGCAGCTGTGGCACTCCCTGCAATGGAGGGGAAGGAGGTGGAAAACAGAGACCCTCTGGGCATAACAGTCCCTGGCTCCACCCCCTGTATCTTACATTGAGTGGAAGAGTTTGATAACAGAGAAGTGGGAGACCCATCCAATTGGCGGGTGGGTTGAGGGGAGGATGGCATCAAGGAAAACTCCCTGGAGCAGGGGCTGATTTTTCTCATTCTGAGAACAGGTAGAGCCTGGATGGAACTGGAGGGAAGGAGGGTTTCCCAGCTCTCATCCCCTGCCCCACTCCTCACCTCCCACAAGGCTCCTGCAGCATCCCCCACCCAGGCCCTGTCTGCATCCTCTCCTTCCCTCTGGTCCCAGGAACACCGAGTCATGAGGGAGATCTTGCTGCTCTAGGAGGCTGCAAAGAATTACAACCAGAGACCGTGGAGCAATTTGGGGCCTGGTTCCAGGACATGGAGCTGCTCAACGAGAATGATAGCTGAGGCCGGGCAGGAGTTAGGTGAGGGCAGGGGTGGACTCTCCCTGTTGGCCAGTCCAGAGACCCTGTGTCCATGGCTCCCTGGTCAACCCCAGGCCTTATTGCATGGCGACCTCTGGGACACCCAGACTGCAGTTGCTGGGCAGGCAGTGGGGGGGCACCTGATGTGGGGCTCCTGGTAGGCTCACAGGTGCCTCTCTGTCCTGGAGCTACAGCCTGTCCTGCCAGCTGGACCCCCAGACCTAGTTGGCCAGCAGAATACTCAAGGCCAAGAAGAACCAGCCATCATCAAGGTCAGGGGTGAGTGAGTGTCTGGGCCGGGGTGACTGACTCCTAGGGGTTCAGTAAGGCTTCAGGCTAAGCGTGGCCTTGGGGAGTTGGACAGCTGGCACTGGGATCCCAGCTCCACTACTGAGCAGTCCTGTGACTGGGGTGACTCTCTTCAGCTTCCTGAGACTCCGTTTCCTCCTCTGTGAAATAGGTGATACTAAATGATCGCTCATGGGGCAGGGACAAATGGGGTACTGGTGGCTGACAGCACTGAGCACAGGGTCTGGAGCACCCAGTGCAGTGGGGACAGGGTGGGGGGCCATGATTCTGAGGGAGGCCCCCCAAGATAACCCGACTCTTCTACTCAGCCCCCAGGCTCCAATACCGAGCCCCGTACCAGTGGCCGATCAAGCCCCATCCTCAGCATTGGGGACACAGCTGGGATGCTTGTGATAAACCGGGCCAGCTCCTCCCACCTGACGGGAAGGGGAGCATTGTAAGCTGATTCCCGGTCCCCCGCTGAAGCCCAAGAGAGAGGGGACAACCCCACTCCAGCTCCCTGACATCTCTACCCTGGGACCCATTCACCCATTGGGGAGGGACAGTAGTTATTTGTTGTAAATAATAAATGCCATATTTGAATATTATATTAAAGTCCTGTTCCCTTTACAGCCTGGGAGTTGTGATGTGGTTCTCTTGCTTTCTGTAGGCATGTAAGTGAGACACAGAATCTCACGTTTCTCCTTGAATCAAGAACTCTTCCGGCTCATCAGCTTATTTTATGTGGGAGAAGGGAGAAGGGCCAGCCCCTTCCCTGGCTGGTAGGGACATTCCCAAGTCCCCCTAACTCAGAGGACAAGTTCATTTCAGTATCATTCAGCTCCTCCAGGAGCAGATACAGCTCCTCCACATCTCCTGGGATTTAAAGGGTGCAGAGCAACAAACACTGAAATGTGGGTGTCTTTAAAATAGCACTACCCAGGACCATGTCCTGCCCCAGGAGATTGGCTGCTTTCCTGCAGCTTTGGAGGAAGAGGGAATATTTTCTGCTCTCTTATTGAGGTTTCTTTTGAGCAAATTTTAAGAACTTATAGTTTTAGTTCAATCTCTGGAATTGCATCAGCTCTAAGTGGGGAAAAATGTAAAAATATCAAATGGAGCACGTGGAGAGGACAAGGCCAGAGGAAGTTCATTTGCAAATGGCCTAAGGGCAAGCAGGACTTTCCTTCCTCAGGTGCCATCTAGGGGCTCAGTGTTCACCCTTTACCTAGACTTGAATCCTCCTAGGATCCTTATCCATGACTCTGAAGTCCTTTTCCTGCTTGTTTTGTATCCAGGGGGAAAGATTTTTGATGCAGCTTTCAAGGCTATAGCTGGCTTGTTCCGTAAACACAACAGTCCCTGTAAACTAGGATTTCAGCATCCCTGCCTTCCTTATTAGGGCAGATATTCCCTAGATTCCCCTAGCCTCTCTCTTAGGTACATTGTGGCTCCTCCTCCCTCACTGGGCCTGATGGATCACAGGTGAGCTCTGCTTTGCCAGGATAAGGGACCATAATCCTGGCCAGTGAATGACCCCACACTCTCCCTTGCTGTCCAGGGTGACTTCTGGGCCCATACAATTCTCAGGTCCATGGTCTTGGACAATCCACCAGTTTACACTCTCAGTGGTGTTGTCACTGACTTGTCTTAAAGGGGCAGCTGGGCCCGAGCCCACAAATCGTGCAGCACCTCGGATGGCTGTGTTCTTTTCCACAGTCTTGTGCTGTGGTTATGTCACAGGGGCATGAAACTTTCCTGTCTGGAGCTCTGAAAGCTGAAGTATGAGAAGAGTGTCGGTGGGGGCTCCAGCAGAGAATGCCACCCAACACATGACCCATGGATATGCATGGACACAGCCTTTCCAATTAAGATACTGGAATGCTTCCAATCTGGTGGTGAGCAGACACTGCTTTGAGCTCACCCCAAGAACCCAACCCATGACCAGGAGCTTTTAAAGTGTTACTACATGGCATTTTGAACCTCATTCTTTGGAAACACCTTGTAAGACAAGGGCCAGATGAATCACTTGGCACTTGTGGGTTATACTCTACTTTCTGATGACTACAAGTGTCACCCAGACACACAACAGGCTGGACTCTGCCAGGGAGGCCTTCTCAGGACAGCCAGAAGCTGAGGATAAATTGTAGTTCCTGGCAGCCCAGGCCCTTCCTGATAGGGCACAGCCAATCAGGAAAGTGATTTGCTAAAGGGAGGACTGGGAAGGCTGTTCTCTCTCCAAAAAGAAAGAGAAGTACCAGGTCCCAGGGCTAGTCCAGGGCTGGGAGGAAGGCACCGTGTCCAAGGGGTCTCTCTCATGGGTCTACAGGCTCCTGAGAGCTGACTCTACATACAGCAATATTTAATAGGTCTTGAATCTACCACATGGCAGAGGAGAACAATTAATTACATCTTTGGGATTCCAATGGACAAAAATAAGCTGAGAGTCAACAAGGAGTAACCCACATTGGCAGCAAGAGTCTATCTCATCAGTCTTTTTTTTAACTTTTATATAAATTTACCACACACACACACACACACACACACACAGCATGCACTCAAACATTCAAAACAGAAGAAGAAATACTCAGAATTATCAAATGTATGTTTTTGTAGCTGGTCACCTTTTCATAGCTGGTATTTATAACTACCTTCTTCTATTACACATTTCATATTTCCTTTGCCCTCAGCAAGCACCTTGGCTGGTCATGGTGCTTTGCCTGGGTGGTGGACCATAACCGACATTCCTGAAGGGTCTGGGCCATTGGTGGTCCTGCCTGGATTGGTTTCTTGTAATTTCCCATTGACTTTAATCACAAGGCATGGGATATAAGACATGCTCTAAGGAATCTCCTGATTTCCAGACAGAGGCTTCCTAACCTCCATTTCTGAGTAGCGGAAGGAAGCCCAAGTCCCAGAGGAATACCAAGGCTACAGAGAGTGTCTGCTTTGAATGTGAAGATGAATAAAACTCAGGGAAAAAATCTGAGGGAAAAATTTGAAAGTCTCTTTTTCATTTTTTTTTTCTGCACTGAATCCGACTAGACAGTTATAGCAGAGGATTCCCAACAGCAGCCCAAAGCTGGTGTGAGCTTTGCCTCCTCAGACTTAAGCAGTCATTCTCTGAGAATGCCCTCTCTGAAGATTATAAAAATGATAATAATAGCTGTCATTATTGACTACTTAATATCTGCTAAGCAACATGATTGGCAAGCTCTGCATGCTTTATCTCAGTGGCACCATCCTTGAGGGCTTTATTCCCATTTTATAGCTAAAGATATGGAGGATTAGAAATATTAAATAACTTGACAAGGAAGGAAAAAAAATTCTTAGAACCAAAATTAAATACTTAGCCAAACTATCTGTCAAAGAAGGAGATAAAGACATTTTCTGACATATAGACAGACTCTGAAGTTGACTTCCCACAGGCCTTCAGTGAAAGAAGCAGTAAAGAATGTACATCGAGAAGAAGAAATGTGAACCCAGAGAAACATAACAGGAGTCATGAGGAAAAGAAAAAATCGTTGTATCTAAATTATATTAGTTTTAAAACAAGACATTAAAACACGTTCTAACTAAAATTTCAGATGTTTACTATATGGCAAGATAAAGGAAAGAAGATTCAAATGAAAAAATAACTCATTTTTAGGGAAAATATGAATACTACAGATATTATATATATATATATTTTTTTTTTTCAGCTCCAAGCATTCTTTTTTTTTTTAATTGATGTTTTAATGGTTTCTAACATTGTGAAATTTTTGGGTTGTACATTTTT